TACGAAGCACCATGTTCCCCAATCTGAACACTGCCACCCCCATGTTCCAACCAAGGAGAATTCTCCTTTATCTCTTCCCCATAAGTAAGAACAAGCTATCACACTCACTATCATGTTTCCATTGGTAGCATTGCTCTCTTTATTTTCCTGCCAGTTGCACCACTGTTGCTTTTCTGAATTGCTTGATGAATGGCGAAGGTGATGTTTAGCTGCTTGTAAAACTTTTCTTAAAGGAACTTGGTCTGAAAAGCACATATACATTACCCTCCACAGCCTCCTAAGTTATCGGGAAGAGGACACCACCACTGTGATTGGTAATGCTATGCCCTGGTTTTCCTTATGGAATCTTATCATGTCAATAAAACTTAGTCAGGATTTTTCACATGTTCCATTGGGGTGGGATCCAGCTTAGTTATCAGCCTAGAGTGAATCCTGCCCATTCTAGAGACTACCCATTATTCAACACAATACTGACCTTTCTTTGATAACTGGCTTTCAAATGGAGACAGTCTCCAGAGAGAGTTCATTGTATTTTCTTTTGGAAGGAGATTATAGATTTAAAAAGAGCCTTTAAAAAAAAAATAGATGAAAACCTCCACCTGTAATGTATTTCCTGTATGTGCCTTTGGAGCATATTCTGGGTATATAGAGAGAAAACCTCATATATTTTGGGACCAAGTAACAGGAAACAAATCATGAGAGGTGAGTGGAATCTAGAAGCTTGCCAAATAAAGGTATTTATTTGAGGGAATATTGAAGAATCAGCTTAGAGACTTTTAAAATCATTACACTTTTTAAATATTTCAAAAGAGGACTTGAGAAAGCAATCGGTATTCATATTTTCTTCAATATTCTCATTCTCAAATATTTAAATATTGTTTAACAAATCTATGGATTACTATTTTTAAAATTATTGTCAGGTTTTCTAGTGTCCTCCCTTAACAGGAAAAATCACACTTATTCCATTTAAAAAATGGAGAATACCAATTTATTGGCCAGTTTAACACACTGCATAGGTCTCATTAAGAACTAGAAAACGCTCTCTTCCCAGACGTGTGTGAGTTTGTTCTGAAGCCTTGAATACAGTTGGAGGCAGTGGATGGGCATAGGCAGCTTGTGCCTGATCCCGCCGTGGGAATCCAGGCGGGCCTTGGCTTGCTGATCAGAAACTGTTCCCACTGTTTATGCACCGCTGATGAAGGGCTGGTCTGGAGAGGCTGCAGTCCTGGCTGATGCTGCAGCGTCAGCTTCCCCAGAGCAGACAGGAGAGAGGAATGATGAATGTGTTTTACTTTAAAAAGATGGAGAAGCGAAGCCAGTTCCTGGGCTGGGTGATAAATGGAAATCCATAAGTGCAGCAGTGCTAATTTGAAGTTCTCATTGTTTGTGCCATGAGAATGTGTGCATTTAGAAGGATTTTAAAGTATTTACCAGAAATGCTTCCCTGGAGAGCAATATTTATGAAGGCATTTCTAGTTCCTGGGGTGACGTACACTCTTGATACAGATGAATGGCAGGGAGGAGGACTTGAGGCAGGGGCAGGAGAACCAGGGCGGGGGTTGGGGTGGGGAGGGAGAATAAATCATTATCGAAGAAGTGAAGGATTTGAGAGCTATTAACTGAAAATATAACTTTAAAAAAATGCCAGGCAATTTTTAGAAATAGGAAGAATAGTTTGTAAAAAGAAACAGAAGCTTCCAGACTTTCAGGATGTAACTGACCTTTTCCTGTTCTCTTCAAACTTCTTTTCACCTATTGCCTTAATACCCAGGTGCTTTCTGGAAAGGTCCCCCACATTATTGACCCAGAGGCCCTGGCTGAAAGAAATTCCTTTGTTGTCAATTTGTCACAGAGGGAAAAAAGACAATACCCAGGCGTGAATAAGTTCACAGCGTAGCAGTGAACTGTCAGTCGCAATTTCTCTTTGCCCAGGGCTGTGTCTTCAAAGCGGGAGTCCGGCTGCATGATTGCAACAGGCTGTGTAAGTCTCACGGACTCCTTTTGTCTAACCACACAACTGTGTGTGTTTGCTTGTTTTGGAAAATGGGCTACTTCAGTGAAAACTGCTTACATGTAGGTCTAAGAGCTGTCACCTGAGCGGTTGACTTTAAGACTCCGCTGTTCCCTCTTGACTGCAGACAGGCCCAGTGTGAGCACCTGTTGGCACCATGTTTATCACACGTTGGTGCCAAGTCAAAAGAGAATTTCAGTGACTCATTAAGCTGCCAAATTCTACTGAATACCCTAGTCATCCTACTTCATTGGTTGCTGAATGGTAAATGAATTACATGGTTTTGTTTGGACCATGTCACCTATCCATTTCCAAAGCCTCGAGTAGATTCTTCTCCAAGGATGCAGCTCAGATGAGCAAAATCGCCCTTGAGAGTTGTAGGCCTTTCCCTGCCTTAGCATTGCTGATAGATTCCTAGAACAGGCTTTGTACTCGCTGATTTATTGGTCTAACAGTTTACACTCGTCACCCTGCCTTTCTTAGGCCCCAACAAACCAGTTGGAGTAGCTGCTCCAGAAGTGGGAATGGGCCACTCTAATTCGGTCAGTGGTTACACATATCTTGGGGCTATATGAGTGAATGAAGCAGGCTTTCCCCCAACAACCTGGGCCCGACCCAGGGCTGTCCCCTACCCAACCCAGGAACACGGGTTGTTGTGACATTTATGTTCAGTGTCGTTTTCTGAGCCCTGTCTCTGATGTGGTCCGGTGGGAATTCTCCTAGGCGGCTGTCTTTGAAATGGGTCCTGCCTTCTTGGCAGGGTGGCGTCTCTCCTGGAACCCTAGTCTGTTCGCTCCTGCTTCCAGCTGCTCAGTCTGCTGAATAGCACCGTCCCAGGGGGATGCACAAGGGCAACAGCTTTTGACCTTCGGAGAGTGGAAGTGCTTGTACTTGAGCGTGATCACCCTTATTTTCTCCCTCACAATGTGGCACTGGGTCTTTTATCTGCTGCTGGATGCTGTCCAGGGCCTAATTGGTACTGTTTCCCCACCCCTCTCCCCCTCCTCTTCAAGCTAGCCTTCTAACTGCTTTTTCTTCTTGGCTCCAACTCTTTCAATGACAAGGGGGAATGCTTTCTCTGTTCCACGCCCCTGCAAATGCAAAGCCCAGCACGCTCTCACTTATCACTGCCTCACCTGATCTCACGCACGGCGTGAGAGCTGAAGGTAAGCCCCCGGATTCTACCAGATGGCTGGTGGACACAAAGGCGTGACCCGCAAACAGCAACTCACAAATGCATGAACTGTTTTGATCTCCAAACAGACTGCCAGAATTTCTCTTTTCTAATTCCTATTTGTAGTGATAACATTTTAATTTTTGTGATTAAAAAAAAAAAGAATAGTGTAGTACCGTAAAACAATTGCAGTTCTCATTGTTGTCACTATTTCTATTTCACGAGTTCCCGTTCTTTCTCAATCATTGTATTCAGTTGTGCACTGGTGTCAATAAAATTGGCATTTGTGAAGCAATTTCTGGCCTTTTTTCTCTGGGTTTCCCTGGGTCTGGTGGTGTGTGGGGTGACTGGGTCTTTGTCTAACACCAGGACTTCATTTCAATAATTGCATAATAAAATGCAAGGATTTAAACGCAGGGGTTTTTCAATGTGAACTTCCTGATTCTGCCTTTTCCTCACATTTTCTCATCTTGTTCTTCAAAGAGCAGTGTACTGACCAGTAGCCAGTGGGCAGGGTGCATGCTTTCCTTGTTTTTCTGGGTGTGGTGGCTTCTCACCCATGTGTCGGTGACACAGCTAGCTGATCAACCCGGGATTGGGTGGGGGCTGGTGGTGGTTTCTCCGTGGTTCGCTCAGACTGGGATCAAGTTCACTACCCTGTTTCATTCTAGGCTGTCCTATCTAATAACTTCAAAATGGATATGACAATCCAGAAGGAGAGGATAGATGTTAAAAAACAAAAACAAAAAAAAACGGGGGTGGGGGGGGGGGTTATGCCCAGAAAATGGCACTTCACTTTTTTCTTCAAGATCCTTGATAGTGTGAGAGTAGCAATGAACTGAAACTACATATTGGAAAATGGAGAAATCATTTACATTGTCTTTCCTCATAATGGTAACAGGCAAGACTGCTGGCTGCTTTAACGTTGTTTGCCCTAATACTAGTTCTAGCAAATCCACATTAGGTAAGAACACTTAGGTGAGAGGTATGTGTGAAACATCCTGTTTAGCTTCCATGGTTTGAGGGACTGATCATTGCAAGATTCTGTTGGCAAAGAGTTTCATGTACACCTCATCTCCTGTGGCTGACTCACAATGGATAATTACACATTTCTGTACTGTTTACTAGGGCATCCTTTTCAGAGGAGTAATTCATTACCTGCCACTTTTTGACTCATAAAAGGGTCTTGGGATAATGTAATGACCGCCAGCTTTGCATTTTTAAATGACCACCTTTGCGTGTAAATGTGATGCTAGTGTTTCTGTCCCAAACAGTGAGAGAGACATGGAGTGACATCACCAGGTATACCGAGCTTGTTTCTGTTCTCTGTCGACTGGGGAGGTAGCTGCTTGACCTTTCTGTAGTGGTGGCCCGTTGTTATGAGATGTAGTCTGTCCTCGCTGCTCCAGTCGTCTCGTCTCCTATTAGTCTAGCTCTATCACCTAGTCATTTCCCACGTCTCCTTGTCATGTAGACGCTGTCTTTCTTGAGTAATTCTTAGAAGCTAAGGCAATAGTTAGGAGATGATTCTATGTGGGGATACACTGTGTTTTTAAACTATTGTAATTCTCTAAGCAGAGTTCTCTACCTTATCATTAATTACATAACTGAGGCTCCATTGAATTACTCATACGATGCTATCCCTGTTAAGGCAGCTGCCGCTTAGAAAAAAAAAAAAGTAGAAAGTAATGAAGCCCATGAAGTTTACCATTGAGTAGTCAAGGTTCTAAAGATTTGAAAAGGTGAGATTATAAGTAGAAATCAGGTCCCAGAGGAATTACTTTTTTTTTTTTAATACTTCTCATCCCCAAACAGGCTCCCTGACTGGTAGCCCTCACCTTTCAGAGCTGTCCATCAACTCGCAGGGAGGAGCTGTGCCCGCCAACGTGATCTTGTCTCCCAACCTGAGCCCCGACACCAAGCAGGCCTCTCCCTTGGTCAGCCCGCTGCTGAACGACCAGCCGTGCCCACGGACCGACGACGAGGAGGAGGGCCGGAGAAAGGTATGGGGATGCGTGCACGCAAGCATGTTACTCTTTTTTGAAATTGTAGTGATATACATAAAGTAAAACTGGCCATTTCGCCATTTTTAAGGGTAGAGTTCAATGACATTAAGTACATTTTTTAATGTTTTTATTTTGTTAATCCTTACCCAAGATATTATTCTATTGATCACATAACTGAGGCGCCATTGAATTACTCATATTGTTATGCTATCTCAATTAAGGCAGCTGCCACTTAAAAAAAAAGAGGAGAAAATAATGAAGCACATTAAGTTTGCGCATTAAGTTTTTAGAGAGAGTGGAAGGGAGAGATGGAGAGAAACATCGATGTGAGAGAGACACATCGTTTGGTTGCCTTCTGCTCATGCCCTGACCAGGGCCAGAGCCTGCAACCTCACTTCACCAGAATTGAACCTGGGAACCTCCAGTCTGCAGGCCGATGTTCTGTCCACTGAGCCAAACTGGCTAGGGTGACCTTAAGTAACATTTGCATTGTTGTACAACCATCATCACTGCTTATTTCCAGAACTTTGTCATCATAACTTTGTACTGTAACTCTGTACCCATTGAACAATAATTCTCCACCCCCAGCTCCCAGAAACCACCATTCTACTTTCTGTCTCTGGATTTCACTACTCTAGGAACCTCATATACTTAGTGGAATCCTAAAGTTCTTATCCCTTTGTGGTTGGTTAATTTCACTCAGCAGAATATCCTGAGGTTCATCCATGTTGTAGCACATGTTGCGATTTTCTTCACTTTTAAGGTTGAATAATATTCCAGTGCATGGATGTGCCTCACTTTGTGTGTCCGTTCATGTGTTGATGGATAGTTGAGTGGTTTCCTTCTTTTGGCAACTGCAGACAATGCTGCTGGGAACATGGCGGGCAAGTATCTGCTCAAGTCTCTGCCTTTGTGCTTTCTTGCATATCCTGGATGGGTGCCTGTGGGAAGCAAGCAAGGTGGCTAACACCAAGGGATTTCTTTTTACTTACTGTTTAAAGAGAAAGCAGACTCTGGCCGAATTGGTTAGAGTGTCATCCCAATACGCCAAGGTTGTGGGTTCGATCCCCGGTCAGGGCACATCAAGAACCAACCAATGAATGCATAAATAAGAACAACCACAAATCCCTCTCTCTCCCTCTCTCTCTCTGTCTCTCTAGTCAATTTTTAAAAATAAATAAAGTAAAAGCAATGACGGGCCTGCTCTAGAGTGGTGCCGCCTGCCCACCTAACTGACGGATTCCAGAGAACTGAGTCACACTGGTGTCACCAGCTGCTTGCACCCTTGTCCCTTTGTCTCAGCCACCCTTTGCAGGCCCACAAACAACGAGGCTTCTATTTCCTGAACACCAACCCCACTGGCCACGGCACCCAGGACAAAGCCATTGTGGTTTCTGTTTCATTTATTTCCTTGAAGACTGCATCACTCTGCCATTTTACTAATTAATTAGCTTTTCAATGCCCAAATTTGAACGAATAGTCCTCCTTGGTGGCTAACATACTCATTCGAGGCCTTTCACTGAGGGTAATATTTGCATGGGAGAATATATTCCTAGACTGTTTTCTCATCATGGAAATTCATTCTCTTACTCTCTGTAGTTCCTCTCACACAAAAAAGAATACATGACTTTATTTAGACTTGATACTAGCTAACAAAAGATGGCAAGTTAGCCATGTTCCACTTTCTTATAATCCAGATATTCTTAGAGACTTATACTAAAAAATGATTATGTCTCTTTTCTTTTTATGGACTTGGCAGAGATTCCCAACTGACAAAGCGTACTTCATCGCTAAGGAAGTGTCCACCACCGAGCGAACGTATCTGAAGGATCTTGAAGTCATCACTTCGGTATGTGTAGCATTTCCCCTAAAGCATCAGCTTACATCATTTATCTCAATGAATACTCAGCTTTCGGAGGGAAGCTGGATCTCATTAAATGTTGGATTGTCTGACCAGGAGTTTGGTCCTAGATTATAGAAATAAGACAGTAATATATTTAATTTGGAATGTGCTCTATAAAAAGTTTTATAGTTGGGATTTTTTTAAAGTGTGGAGGCAGGATGTGTCTAAAGTGGAGAAAATGAAAACTAAACATTTTGCTGTCTGCATGCATTGATGCAGAACATTGTGCGTATGTTGCCCGTTGTCAAATGCAGCTATTTATTCATTTTGCTTGAAGGAGACCTCACAGGGAATAGAAGTCTCGTTTTATCTTTCATAATAAATTGAGCCGTGTCAGCAAAATCTGCCAGAAGTCTGTCTTTTATTATATTAATCAGTTCTGTCCAGCCTTGGAAACAAATGTAAAGCCTTGCAGATGTCTTTCTGACCCCTGGGTGCGGGGAAAGAACTGGCCTTCCGGAGGTCAGCGGAATCATTGGGTATGTGCGCCTCCTGGGCGTCCTGCGTGGTAACTGGCCCTGGGCAGGTGCTCAAGAAACACCCTGGGACCCGGCCCTGATGACTGACAGTGTGAAGGCAGCGGCTTTATCTCTCTGGTTCAGCCACCTAAGTGCTCAGCATTTTTACAAAGGAGCGGAGATGGAAGTTCCTGAAGGACTGAACCAGGGGGTGGTCAGTGCTATGAAGCAGGATTGCCCAGCGAGCTGGCTAGATGGAGGTTTTGACTTGAGGAGCTGCCCATTTCAGAGATCTGTCCTGGCTTCGGCAGTTTTTTGGTAACCAGTCGCAGGAAGCAGGAATAAAGAGATGGGTGCTTCTTGTCCCGTCTGATGAAAGGGGACAAGCAGTGAGGCCTGGCAGCGCCTGGTGCCCCCGAGATGCTGCAAACCCAGTGGGAAAGGCCCTGTGCTTCGGGCGCAGGTGGCCACAGCATCACTTCCGAATTGCAGACACTCATCATGCATCTCTACACCTCTAAGTGTGGCCTCCTTCTCTTCCCAGTGGTTTCAGAGCACAGTGAGCAAGGAGGACTCCATGCCCGAAACACTGAAAAGTCTCATATTCCCCAACTTTGAACCTTTGCACAAATTTCACACAAATTTTCTCAAGGAAATCGAGCAACGACTAGCCCTGTGGTGAGTACAGTTATGTTTAACAATTATATTTCCCCTCCCACACACACACACCCCCACCCACCCCTTTCCTCTTGCTCTTCCCATTGTTACTTCTGTGTTGTTCCTTTTAAGCAGCAGTCATGAGAAAAGGTCAGAGCAAGAAACTGGCTTAAGACAAGCCAACCTTAAAACGGTGTCCAGTTAGGTTCCACATGTATTTAGATCTCATCCTGAATCTTTTTCCCTTGATTTACAATTCTTCAAAATGCATGTTTTTGTATGATAATTAAATGAATGTCACGAAGTAAAGGTAGTAGTTACGTCTGGGAGGAACTTTTAGGGGTGTTGGTAATACTTCATTGGTGCTTGCTTTATAGTTACTTGTTAAGTGTCTGTATATCTCATGATGCAGTTTTCAGTATTATATTTCACAGTGTTTAAAAGTGCTTTGAAAGATACAGAGTCCTATGCAACACACACACACCTTGAATCCTATTTCTAGCAGTTTATCTTAAGGATGCATTTTATCTTAAGGATGCATTTTAATATGTGAAGTGGCATGACAAAGAGCTTTATGGCAGGATTAAAAGATTAGAAATGGCCCTGGCCGGTGTGCTCAATTGGTTGGGCATCGTCCCATGCACCGAAGGGTTGCAGGTTTGATTCCCAGTCAGGGCACATGTCCAAGTGGCGAGCTCGATGCCCGGGTTGTGGGCTCGGTCCCCCAGAGGGGGTGTGCAGAAGGCAGTCAATCGACGTTTCCTTCTCACGTTGATGTTTCTCTCTCCCTCTCTGTCTAAAAATCAATAAAAATATTTTTTAAAAGATTAGAAATGACCTAAATGTCCATGAATAGTAGATTTGTTATAAATAATGTTGTCTGTTTATGAAACCAAGTAAACATTAATCTGGGAGGAGAGTGTGGAGCGGAAAAGCAGGAAAGACTGTGTGCTATGTAATGCAAAACCTGAGGCACCCTTACATCAAGTAGAACGTTTTTGAGAAAAAATTCTTCTGGGGTTTGTTAACACAGTTATATGTAGATACAGAGGGAGTTGACTGTCTACTAAACACGCATTTAAAAAATGCCAGGAGAAAAATAGCAAAAGGCTTCCACTGTGTTTTTGGCAGAAATGGAACCCACTGTATACTGCATCCTTACCGCAGGTGAGAATTTGGTTGAAAGTGGTCTCCGGGACATTAGACTGTAGGACCTGGAGGAGCCGGGATGAGTTTGTCTTTCCCAGGTGATCCCAGGTCATGGGTTCAAGCATCAGCTTAGCCGGTTAGCAGAGCTGCTCCTTTTGCTATGAAGTGAAGGTGGTCAGGGATCCGGCTTTGTCTGTTCTTTATACCTAGAGACAATTCCTGCCCATTTCTCTTTCCTGTGATGGAAAGGTGAGAGGCTGCACTAAGATGCCTCAGGGCGCAGAGTACAGCCAGGATGAGAAATAACAGGTGCAGGTCAGTCTCACTGAGCATGGGGAGAGATTGGAAGTGCCACTGTAGAGTCTTACTTGAGGTTGGTGCTGTGAGTAGAAGAGAAACACCGCTTTTCAAAATTAACCAAAAAAAATCTACATCGTCCAACTTAATTTTACCTTCCCAAGTTAGTCTACCTGGAAACTTGTGGTTGCGACCTGCCGTGTGGCCTCATCATTCCTGCAGAGTTGAATGATGCTATCACAGTGGAGGCAAAGACTTCACAGCTCAGGAGAAACCTGCCAACAGTTGGTTTTCTGGCCAGTGAGACGTATGCCTACGTAGTCTTCACCTTCCCAGGGCTCAGAGCATCGTTGTTGTTTCTTAAGCAATTATTTCAAACATTTACAATTTTCACTTTAAATGCAAAATAGCGGATAAAAATAAAAATATATTGAAAAACATATCATAGTGACCCTTTGCCCCACATACAGACATCAGCTTTGATATTTGCTTTTAGGTAATTAGGTGAAAAAATAAGCACAAACTTAAAACTATTCTTTCGCTCCAAAAGAAGCAAAGTTGAAGTATTATACTTAACAGATGTGTGATCTCCATCCAAAAATGGTTTCTCTACTAATCCACAGCCTTGCCACATGCTGCGCCCATCCCTTCCTTTTCAAGCAGATCTTCGTGTGAGCATATGTTCTTGAAACTGACCGTGTTCCTTAATACTCATTAAGGTTGCAAAATAATATTGAATGTCAGCTGTAATTTTAAAAAATAAAATAAGCAAATAAAAAAATTATTAAGGTTGCTATAGAAACGCACGGAGCTAGCACCAGACCACACAGAGGATATGAAGCGGGGAGGACCTTCAGACGATGCTCGGGAACATCTGGTGCAGACTCAAGCCAGCTGGCCTTCCAGCACAGCCCGCTGCCTGCATGGGACAGCTGGCTCCGTGCTCATGCTCTGAAGGTCAAGCAGTGGCCTCTGCTTCTCCAAATTATGATAAATATCTCACCAGCTCCACCTGAAGCTGGACTCCTCCCCAACCGAGTCAGCCTTAGAGGAGGCGATACACTCAGCACCAAAGCAGCAGGGCAAAATATTTGTGAACATTCTGTAGGAAACCCACAAACCATGATCACTCCCAGCCTGCTCCACTGGGCTCTGTGCACCACCAGATCCCGGCAGCAGATGCCACACCTTGTAATGGTGTTTCCGTCCCCTACCCCACCTCCCACACCCCCAGGAGAGCAGGGAAAGGGAGACAGTGGGAGCCAAGCCTGGCATGCAAACCCCAGGGGCTCGGGCCCCTTCAGAGTTACCAACAGCTTTGTAGACACAGCCAATGCTGCCCCCTTGTCACTCGGAAAAAAATATTTCATTAATGCTGCAAGAACTAATGACCACTTTCGTTTAGACCTTGAACCAGCATGTTTTTAACTTTCCCAACCCAGCAGGATAAGTTGTCATGCCTAATATATAAATCGTCACCATCCCAACATTTTGCTCTGGATGTATGGCACATTGCTACGGGTATTAGGTGACTAACATCAGTGTTGAGGCTAAAAGGCAGCACATGAGCTGCAGAAACACAGGTAAGAATGACCTGAGTGGTTGAAACACATGGTCACTGATCACAGATACAAGGACAGAGAAAGCTTAGGGTATATACCTGTGTACACTGTAGGCTCAGAGCTGGTGTCCCTAGGGCATATTTAGTCCACAAGACTTAAGTAATGTTAAGTAATGTTGGGAAGGTCACACATAGGACATGGCATCATGTTGGCAGTACCTGGCAGCCCAGCATGGTGGCTTTCACTAGCTCTTGCCACCAGAGAGAACGTTGGAGAGCTGTGTTTCATTCTGGAAATAAATGCCATACCTTTGGATTTATCCGTGACGCATCTGGACCTTGTCTGTGGAAGAATATCCAATTGCTTAAAAAAAAAACAGCTGCTGACATTTGTTTTCTAGAGGGTTTTCAGTAGAGTCTCTTTCAAAGTTCTATAATTTTATTCATGTTTTACTTGAAAATACCAGAAAGCATATAAAAGACTCAAAGCCGGAGGGATAGCAGATCGTCCATGTGTAGCTCAGTTGACATGACCTTCAGTAGCCTTGCAAAAGTGGACCCAAACCAAATTGATGACGTGTCTCGGGAATAAATGTAAAAGTCTGTGATTCAGTTCAACTGATCAATTCTTCCAGTGCATGATGAGGAAGACCTGGCTCGACAGGGACTAACGGCAAAAGGCTGAATGAGAATGAGTTTAGTGTGAGCAGATAGAATAACATGGAGATAAGCCAGTGTCAGTATCTGTAGCTGTCAACATTGGCTTCTCTTTAAAATCACCTGGAAGCTTAAAGAATCTCGATCTCCAGGCAGAACCCCAGAGCAGTTATATGAGAATCCCTGAGAGGCGAGGCCTAAGCATCCGTAGTGACTAAAGCTTCCCGAGTGATTCCCACGTGTAGCGAGGTCACGACCCTCTGTCCTAGACTGCCGCACCAGACAGGGACCGGAGCGTGGAAGACAATTTCCCCTTGAAACGTCAAGGCTCAGAGCTCCTTCAGAATACTCTGCTCAGTTCTGAGTTTCACATTTGAAATGGAATAATAAGAGAATGCATTTTATTTTTTTTAAATGATTATTGGCCTTGTATGCATATATGCACGGCCCATGGACACAGACAGTGGGGCGGTGAGCGCCTAGGGCGGGGGGCGGAGATGGGCTGGAGTGGGGTTAACGGGGAGAAAGGGGACATATGTAATAGTTTCAACAATAAAGAATTATTTTTTTAAAATGATTGTTGGAACTTATGAGCATTTGGTCTAGAAGAGAGAAGTTTTTAGAAAATATGATGGACTCTCTTCAGGTTGATGGATGAAAAAGGGAGTACATGTCTTCTTCCCTTAAAGAAAGGATCGGATTTCCAAAGAGGCCCATTGTGTCTGAATACAGAAAAGTGCAGCTTAGCATTGAGAAGCTGCCTCCCAGGTGATGAGCTCCCCCCGCCCCTCCCGCACCCCCACCCGGTGCTCCTTGAGCAGAGGTTGACTATTTGCAGGTATTTATTGGGTGAAACCCCAAACCTGGCCGTGCATCAGGGTCACCTGGGGTTGGGGGAAGGGAAGTTTGGAAAAATACAGACTTCCAGGCCGATCCAGCCCTCCAAAATCAGATCATTGAGGGGAGGGCCGGGTGCTTGTTTCTTACAGTGCTTCTGAGATAACTGTGATGACTGCCTTTTCTGGAACCACCGATGTGGCTGCTTCCGACAAACCTGAGATCCTGTGATCCTTTGATTTGCATTTTGGTTATCACTCTTGTTGCTTTCTCCTTCACGCAATGAATGAACACATGAGTGGGCGGGTGGTTGAGCCCGAGAGCAGCAGGCTTTGCCCCCTGGGACTTGGGTTCTCAGAGGAGGGGGCAGGCCTGTAGGGGCAGGAGGCCCAGGCCAGGTCTGCCTTGGAGGACAGAGGCCCAGGCCAGGTCTGCCTTGGAGGACACGTGGGCCGTCAGTGCCTGCACAGAAGAGGCAGCCTGTGAGTGAATATAGTCAGTGAGAAGGATGGACACAGGA